CCTGCCCGCTCACGCGTATCGGCCGCGGCTCACGTCACCGGCCTCGGCCGCAGGACGGGCCGGCCTCTCAGGCCTGCACTGCGGCCTCGCAGCGGCCGCGGTCACATCACGTTGCTGACTTTGTGGTTGTCTTGCCGGGTCAGAGTGTCCCAGCAACGGAGGATAGAACTGTAGTCACTGGAGCACGAAAGCGGCCCAGTTTCCTTTACCCTTTTCCTTTCTGACAAAGCGCAAACAGCGGGGCCACGTGTGAGGCGTTTCTGGATGAGCACCCCGCTTCCTGATGGTGGTTTCTGACGCGCTCCGAGTCCACGCACCTCATGTACGTGAACCCCGACCGCACCGCCGGCTGGCGCGCCCCAGGCGACCAGCGGCCGCGGGCTGTGCGGACAGGGCGGCGGAGCACGGGCCTCCGCGTCGCCCGCCGTCCGGGCCGCGGGGACACCTCCCGGGAGGGCTGGTCATCGCTGAGCCGGGGGACACCCAGGGCGCTGCAGCAAGGTCCATTTTGGCAGGAAGCACCAGGGTTCAGCCTGGACCTTCGCTGCCGGCTGACCATCAGACCGACTCCAGGGTGGCGTCCAGGGCCTCCGGCGGCGCAGGGCAGCTGTGGGCGGGCAGGCCGGGGCCAGGCGCTGCTTCCCCTGGCGCCCGGCCCCCTCCCCCGCCTGCCGGCCCCCCGCGATGACCAAAGGAAACTGGAAAGTGCGCAGAAAGGAAGCAAAGTCCCTCCAGCTGAGTCAGGATCAGACCTAACGCTGAAAGCAGCCATGTCGCTGACCGGTGACCTGCCCCACAGCCGGCCAGGCCTGGAGCCCGCGCAGCCTCACGCCGACTCGCTTCTGGGGAGCTCCGCCGGGCCCCAGGTCTCGGCAGGGAGCAGGTCTCCCCGGCCCGCAGGGCTGCTGCTGGGGCCACCTCGAGGCCCCGCTGCGCTGGCCGGTCCCGGGCCTCTGGGGTCCGTGGTGGCGGCCGGGCCCTCTGGCCTGCTGGGAGCCGTCCGCAGTTGGACGGTGACGGTGTGGGGGCGTGTGCGGGGCTGTGCGGTCACTTGGCTCGCGCTGGGGCCTGGGGTGGGGCTGCGGCCACCTGGGAGCGGTGAGGCCCGACCCTGGGGCCGCCTGAAAGCCGCGGGGGACAGTGGGGCTGAGGCCCGGACGCCGGGGGTGCAGAGGTGGGCTCGGAGACTGGCGGGGGTCTGGGGCGGG